GGAGGATGCACCCACCTGGGTCACCACCTCTGTCCCCAGCTGCGAACACAAGCAAAGCCACTTTCTTTGTTTAAACCTACCCCCCTTATTCCTTGACACTTCTCACCAGTGCTCTAACTTCAGCAAGAAACTTCTGCACTTGGACACATGAAAACAGAAAAATCCAAGGAAAAGGATTAGAAAGTGGCCAAGAGATGCTGAGAGGCCAAAAATAAATGTCTTAAAGTATCTAAGGTAAGAGATAGCAACAGAAGGGAAGAAGACCTAGATGGCATCATAAGGCAGGAAACAAAGAATGAAGAGGGAATAAAACATAAACCCCTACCACTCACATCAGTTTTGGTCACCATTTAATCCCTGTAGCCAAGATCACAAGAGCCAGAATCTGAAAAGGGAAGGGTGGCTTATTGAACAGAGTTTGCTAGGGTAATAGACTGACAAGAGACAGACGAGGTTTGCTACCTGCGAGTTCAGGTCATGGGCAGATAGCCATTTGTACTGAATTATAAATCCTAATGCCTGCCTGGGACATTAAAACTCAAGTTTCCTGCAAAGACCAAAAATCCTAAATAAGTAAAAGCAGTTGTCCCTCTCAGAAAAAGGTCTTGATTAAAAAAAATATATTATTCCCTCAAGGCTTTTCAAGTTAGCTCCTTGGTTTGTCATAAGACATACCTATTGCACCAGAGAGGCGATCTACAAACTCTGCTGCAAGTGCACAGCTATCATTTATTACTCCGTTTCCATTTTATAGGCTATATTCATTTCATCAGGATATGGTTTGTAGCATTACTGTTTGTGCCACTATCATTGCAGCTGAAACAGCACTTCATGACGAAGCAAGCAAGCACTCTTTCTACTAGGTTAGGAGGCATTATCCCTCTGCATCAAGCTGTGTCCTCCCACCCTTCATGGCTCCGGATAAAAATCTGGATGACCAAAAAGCCTGCCCAATTCTCTTCAATAAAGATTTCCAAGTCTGTAGAGTAAATCTGTGTCAACACAGAGTAACTCAGCCTCTACCTTCTACTGAACAACAGCAGGATAGAGCCAGTGGTACCCTCCAAAGCACAGAATGGGAAGGGGAAGCATCAGCAAAACAAGCATTGCCCTCAGCAGTTGGAATGAGAGGCTGTACTTCAGATATGATTTTTTTTTTTTTTTAACAATCTGAAGAGCCATACACTTCAGGGATTCTTTTTGTTATTTGGGGTATATACATATGTGCATTTTAAAGGCAGCTGTATACAACAGTGAATTGCTAGTGGTAAGATTTCACATGTACTATCTAAAAAAATCTATGTACCTCCACAGCTTCAGCTACTAGAAAAAGCAGATAATAAAACCCACCCACAAACCAAAACCAAACCAAACCAAGGCTGTGGAAGTACAATTTAGGCACCCTCAGTCTTTGGTGTTAGAGTGAGAGTCAGAAACCCACAGTCTCTGGGCACATGAAATTTTATTAAAAATGAAGAAATCCAAAGCAAAAGCAAAGTACGATGATGCCCAGCATCTTACTTGCTTAGTATCATTGTCCAGGAACCAGCAGACACTGGCAACCATGATGCCATACCTGAACCATATACCTGTACATACGTTAAGGTAAAATGTTATATCTAAATGAATATATACAACATGTAAATAAAAATTAAAAAAAAAAATTAAAAAAAGCAGAGAACAGAAAACGAGTACATTTAAGGGATGTTACAGAGTCATACACAAGCTGGAAGGTGCCAGAATTTCAAACAGAAACATTTCCCATGTTTTAATAGCAGTAAGAGAAAACATAAGGGGGTCACCTTTCCCTTAATGCTGCTGATGAGCTTCCATTCTTCTTAAACCAGTGTAGGTGGTATTGTCTATTCAGAGATTTTTTTAGGGAGGGTTTTTTTGGCTGCTTGAACAGGGGAGTTTTGTATCTGGGGAAAAAAAACCAAACAAACACAAACAAAAAAACCCACCGAACTATCCTAAATACTTTCTGCCGACAAAAATCTTTAAAGAGTGCAGAAAAGCGTTATTAAAATAAAATTTAAAAATTAACAAGTTTATTAGCAGATTAACTTTAGGTTGTATAGTCATTAAAGTGTGATATTTTCCACTGAGCAAAGAAATGTAATGAGATCTTCCTGTTCACATGTCTGGCATAGTAGCAGTTTTTCACTTTTTTTTTTTTTTTTCCCCATTTTCAGAATTTCTGAATACAAGGAGGCAGCTTACATAAAACAGAACAGTGTCTTTGAGGATGGCTGATTCACTGTTTAATGCTTACAAGAGCTGGAGGAAGGGCAGACATACACTAAGGCAGACTTTGTGGTTCCTTCAGGTATTGACATTCCAGGACACTGCAATGCACTTGTTTGCGCTCACAGTGCAGACATACAGATTTCTTCTGCAAAACTAACACTAAATTTGTGACTCCTCCCTCCAAGGAATGAGCTAGGGGAGCTGGGACAGAATACTGTGTTGCAGAATACAAAAGTTAGGTGCTTACAAAGAGCACAATGCAAAGCTACAAATTCCAGTAGTGAGGGCTGTGAACATTTCCGCACCCTTCAAGCATCAAATTTTCATTAACATGGATTTTTTTAAGTTTCTAAAAATAAAAGCTTCTCAATGAAATTTCCACCAACTTACCAAATAGATCAGTACACAAAATATGTATATGTAAGAAATTATGTGAAGTTACACATCTTAAAATAAAATACAGTGTTAGCTGTTCAGGGTTGTTCCCAAAATATAGCAGTATTCTGAAGTACGTATCTTAAGAGCCTTACATTGGTGATAGTTTAAGACATAGTATGATCAACATTATTTTATTATAGAAATACATTTCTGTAACAGAATTAAGCATACACTTATTTCTAAGGTCCTTCATACCTACACAATATTAACTTTGAAATATAATCTTCCTCCCAATTATAATTAACTACTTTACACATACAACTCTATGTATTTAAAATTACCTTTAGACAAAAAGAAGGACACCAAAACCTGTAGCCTTAGATGCAAACAACCCTGGCAGTGTAATGACTACAGTACATGGCTTTGCAAAGGTGGAATGTACCTAAAATGTTTACAAATGCTATGAAAGCAAGATCTCTTTCAAAACTGCATTTCCTTTGACGAAATGAATTCTGATCACAAAAGCACTTGAAAAAAAAAGATGAGCAAGCAGTATTTATTTTATGTAACTACAACTCTTACTCGTTACGCATTTTGCCACAAGCCCTTCCTGCTATTAATGCCCTTAAGGAGTTTGAATCTTCTGCCTCTGGAATGTACAGTATGAAACCAACTTGCAACTGCAGAGGAAAAAAAAAAAGCCAAAGTACTATTCCTTGTTCTTTTTAAGGCACTCCCAAAGGGAGTCCTAGTAAAAGATCCAGGGCAAGATATAGCCCATTTAAAGGTAAAACATCTTTGACACTTTGATGTAAACTTAACCGTTCACTGCGAAAGCCTGTTTGCCTTTACGGCCAGGAGCATCCTGTGGACAGCAGAGCCCAGGTCCACAGATGCCAAAGTCCACCTCAACTCTACAAGTTCAACTAATAACTTTGGGCAACTTGAATTCCTACAGCAATGAACAGGCTTCAGAGCACTCAGGCATTTAGAGCAGCAGCAGCAACTTCCTTCTTAATTCCTATGTAAAGCATCTTAGTTTGTCACTGCGTCATGGGGGAATTGAAGCAGAGCTCATTAGAGCATGGGGGAGCCTGGCCAATACCCCAACCATTGCAACAGGGTCAAGCTATCACACAGTAGTATTCTGTCATTCTGCACCAACTCACTCCTGCTTAAGCAATGTCACCCTTCCAGGTAAATAACTTGCTTGCTTTTAATTACACTCTAAAAACCAAAAAGGCACCAGTTTACTTTTAAGCATTGTACAATCCACACAGTGTCAGCTTTGGAAATGGCACTGATCTATTTCAGTTCTTAAAAGAAAAAAGCAAACAAAATAGCATCCTCTAAAAATAAAAACTAAAAAAACCCTGATTTATACATCTGCACCTAGGTAGTGGTTTTACAAGCAAACCTGTGAAGCAGATTTTATTTAAAAATAAAATAGAAGTCCAATCCTGACAGTTTCCAAGTGCTCAGTGCTTCCTACCGCAGCCAATGGGAGCTGTGAAGCCTCAGTGTCCTTCAGGGCACACCCAAATTGGTATAATCATAAAAGTCCCTGAAAAGAGAAGGGAGGAGGGGAAAAAGAGGGTAGGGAGAAAGCAAACAATTCTTCAACCTTCACAACATCACTATGAGAAGAATGTAACATATGACAACACAAAAAAGAAATATTGCTGCAGCCGGGGTTCAATGCATTCCGCTTATACTGAACACTGTTAATCTCTTACTACAAAACTGCAGCAGATTAAGACACCTGGTATCATTCTGGGTATTCTATACAGAAACTTTGGTTTTAGTGGATACTTCAAGGTACACATGGCCATCAAAACATTTGTGAAAGGAGCAAAGGAAGTGAGCAATTTCTATGAAGAAGAAGCTACAAAGGATTTACCTTACAAAGGAAATACCTTCTAAGTATTTGTAATTAAAATTATTAAGTTTTAATTAAATTATGATGTCTAAAAAGACATTATTTCTAGTTTAGTACTCATAGTTACAATGACTGGTGCCTGCCCCAGGTTCCAACAGAGCGCTCTCTAGTTTCAGTAAGACCACTTGAAAAGCCAAGAAACACTAATTCCCTGAATGCAGTGAATAAATGCACAGAAGAAATACCAGAGGATGGAGATGCCTCCAAACTGCAGTGACACATTCTTGCTCTCCTAGCCCCTGACATCACACACTGGCCTACTTCTGCCCCACTGGAGTTTCAGGAATAGCAACGAAGACAAAAATTTGTCCCATTTAGTCTTGTACTGCACTCCCCGTGGGATTAAAGCACACTGGTTTTAAAAGACAAAGTTGAGAGCACAGACATACCACCTATCAAAGTGCACTGTGATATAAACAATGAAGTTACAAAATTTACAGGGCCAAAACAAAAACTTTTATTAGCAAACAAGTAAAGATTCATCATCACTGGTATTGATTTCAGAGAGGGGAGTAGAGGACTCTAACATTGGCACTTCCACAGAATGGCAACAAGCTGCATGAATACCCAAAGGCTCCTCCCGGTATGAGTTAGGGCAACATCGGTTTTGTCCATCCACTTGGATGTGAACATGCATAGGGCTGTCTGGATAAGCAGACTCCCACTTTTTCAAGGGTAACATACATGGCTCTTCACTCAGTGGATGACTTCTACTTAAACTACTGTCCTCTGGGACAGTCCTCCTGGATGCTGACCCTCCATGGATCGTTTCTGTAACACTTTCAGATAAAGGATCTCTAAAAGCCTTTCCTGAATCCACTTTACTGGACTGCTTAAGCTCACTGCCAGAGGTCTCAGCACCTAAAGATTTATCAGTGCGTCCAGCCTCAGGCTCTGCATGTGCTGCTGTGCAAGTATTCGGTAAGACATTTGAAGGCGATGGCTCTGTGATTTCAGTCTCTGGCTGCAAGCTGCTACATCCAGCTTCTTGTAGGCCCCTGGCTTGGCCACGGGCATTTGCCTCTAAACTAGGTCCTTCAGGGGAAGGTGGAGGACTCCGAATAGTCCCATCAGCATGGTTGATGATTCCATCACCCAGTGTAGTCTGTGAAGTGCGGGCAGGCGTCAGGAGCGGGATCTGTCCTCTCACCCGAGGTCTGTGGAAGAGTCTGTTCCAGAGCCTGCCCAAGCGCCGCCGAGATGAGCTACGTCTTGACGAGTGTCGTCTCATCTGTCTCCTCATGGCTGTTCGAATGTTCTGCAGCACAGAAGCCTGTAACACAGACATAACAAACTATGATTTCACGCATAGTCAGAAGACTTCTCCCAAACCCTGTCCTTTCCACTATCTCCACCTTACCAGAATTCTGACTTGACCCCTACACTTCCTTGTTAAATGCATATTTTCTAATGAACTATTTAGGAATACCAAAGACAGCTCTGCCTGTACCAAAAGACTTTCTTAGAGTGTTTCCTTTATGAGTTTAAGCTCTGCTCGTCTGCCCAGGAAGATGCTCCGCTCATGCGATCACACCACCACTGAAGAACCAGTCTGCAGACCACTGAGTCCTCTGTCATCAGCAATAGCAGAGGATCCTCAAATTCTGATGACAACAGCAGAGAAGAAAGGCCAAGGCAAACTACTTTTCCACTCAAGTAACAAACTACAAGTGCTTTATCACACTAGGAACTGTATCACAGTTGGATACTTTTGACAGGGCACAGGAGAGTTTTGACAACTCAGCAATGAAATAGAAGAATGACTTAATGGCTTCTCAGTGTAATGTATTTGTAAATGAAAAATAATCCCAGAATTTCCCAGAAATACTGCTAGAGACCTTACTTTCTTATCGCTTCAGGCACATTACAGTTTCAGCTTGAAAAGCCTTTTTTCTATTTACTTTCTGATCTTTGTCTCTGTGCATTCTATCTTGATGTACAGCAAAACAGCATGTGCTTATCTCACTGCTGTTTGCTACCAAATACACGTAATGTGTTCAAAACTACCCACAGCACCAAGATGCATAACTGTGGTTCTTCAGCTCCAAGTAAAACATACACATTTTTATACGACTTCCATGTAATTAGGACAGCTACTGAAAGAATACATATCCAGATTTATTCTATCTAATTTATAGTAGTTTGGCTGCTGATAGGTTCATTGGCCCTCATATCTCCATACTTGTGATGCATTGTACACAGGGAAATCTTCAACTGGGGGGATAAGTCCTTGTGCAATCAGCTGCCCATAGGAAGGTGGAGCTTCCCGCCGCACAAACTCTGCCTCGAGTCGTGTCATCTGGGTCTCAAATGCTCTGGAAACAAAACCAGAGGAAAAACATGGAAGAGAGTTAACAGTCAGTTTGTCCTGCCTTCCTCACATTAATGTATAAAAGCACTGCAGAGGGCTTCACGCTACCATCAAAACCACAAACCTTAATCTAGGCTCAGGATGCTAAAATAAACAAAAGGAACAAGAGTACAGGCTATAAGCATCAGTGAATCAAAGCAGCAAATTCTTTGGTGCAGTCCCAGGTTGGATTCTGTGGCAACTGGGGTTTTTTCAATAGGTCAGCTTATGCCAGTAACAGTGGTAACTTGTTCAGCAAGGGCCTAAAGGTTATTTTTGGAAAAGACAACATTAAGAACTAGAAACAATCACACAACAGGGGCAGCTTACAGCTGCAGAGAGCTTTGGCTGTCCTGCCAGAACTGAGGCACCAAGGTTCCCAACACGGCACGGCGGCTGGTCTCCAGCTCCTTAATCATGCAGATTTGATCTGGAGAGAATGTAAAGCACACTGTGCTGAAAACACGAACGGTGTCAGCAACACAGCATGGAGCTGGTGCATATGACAAGAGATGGGCTTCAGAAAGTCCCTTACCACTCTCTCCCAAAGGGCAGAACCACACTTGCACAGACACAGAAACACACACACACACACGCTATCCATATAGCAAGGCATATAGGACCAGGGTAAAGGGGCAGAGGTCACACCAGTGGAGGTAAAAAACTGCTCAGAACAGGCCCCACCACTACAAGACATTGCTTTTAGTAGAACTGAGAAGTACAGTATTTGGGGAGGGCAGGGGGAGAGTTACTCAGTTCAGATTCGGCAAAGACTTCACTGTAACAGTTCAGCATTTAGTTTTTGGCAGTGCAAGGGGCTTGTTGCAGGAAGAGGCGGTGGGAGAGGAAACTGCTCAAAACAGTTTTAAGTTAGATACAGGTTCTGCCAGGCTGCACAATAAATGTATATTTCTCACAGACCACAGAAGAGCTGACATTCCCCTCACTACTTCTGAAAATCTTAAATACTCTTCTCTAAGCCTAATGCAGTGACTGCTATTTAATTGTCATCAATTCCTTGGATTGATTTCACAGTGTTTTGCCAATTCTCTGGTTAACAATCGACTTTTTTTCTTTAAACAAAAAGGAAAAAAACACCACAGCTATTAAAGCATCATAAAAGCAAGATGCTTACCTGTATTCCCTGGTCCTCAGAGAATATAATTTAAATGCACAACCTAGCGCTATCACCAGCAGCAAGCCACACACAAGACTCCCAATCAGAGCCGCTGTGATAACCTTCCTGGGAACAATCACCAGGCAGTTGTGTTCATCACTTCCATCCTGGCAGTCTTCTTGGCCGTCGCAGCGCCAAGTCTCAAAGATGCACAGATTTGTACCACAATGGAAGTTTCCTGGCTGGCAAGTAAAGCAGTTTTTTTCATCCGAGCCATCTGGGCAGTTCTTTTGGTTATTGCAGCGATCAAGTATTGAGTAACAAAGCCCACTGTTTCCTTCACATGGGTATTCATTCTTCTGGCAAGCAGGACAGTTCTCCTCATCCTTGCCATTTGGACAGTGCCACCAGCCATCACAATGCTGCTTATCTGTGAAACACTCCTCATCGCTTCCACAAGGGTGTTCCCAAGGAAGGCAATAGCCTTTCACCTGATAGGTCGCATTGAACCCATGGCCAGTGCTCTTGGAGCGAGCATGATATGAGACAGTGAGCTGGCCCTTTGACGACTCCACGCTCACCGAATGCCTATTGTTGTGGTACGAAAATGTCTGCATTAATTTATCACCTCTCTCTCCAATGCCATCATACACCTTTACATAGTCGTTGTAGCCTAACTGCAAATCAAGCTGCAACAGAACATGTCGATTATCTTGTGTGTCCACGTACCATGTGCAGCGAAGGTCTGATCTGCTGTGATCAGCACGGAATAAGTCTGGGGAAGCAAAAGATCCATAAAAATTACCCAGCCTTTTGCCACAGGAAAGATCAGGACAATTATCTTCATCCGAACCATCACTGCAGTCCTTAACTGAATTACATCTCAGCTCGTTCATCAAGCACTTGGTGGAGTGGGCTGCACTGCACTGGAACATTCCTGAGGGACAGATGCTGGACGGAGGCTCTGTTGGAGGGACAGTGCAGTTTCTCTCATCCGAGTTGTCACCACACTCATCCATGGAATTACACTTCCAAGTACTGGGAATACACTTTCCATTTGCACAGTGGAATTCATCTGACTGGCATACAGCCTGACCTATCTTTCCTGTGAAAGAGGGCAAGGAGAAAAAAGTCAGTATCAAAACTTTTGGAACCATCTGATGTCACTTTTTAATGTCTACTACCCTGCATGTCACAAGTCAATCAGTCAGGCCAGTACACTTCAGGAATACTGTTAAAAAGCCAAGTGGAAATAATATCAGTGTTACCAAGCTAGCACCCTAGTCATCAAGGCTGGCCCAAGACTCCTGTCGACAAAAAATACTATCGTCTTCAAGTCTTGCCAGAGAGAGTGTAAGTGAAGTCAAGAAAATTGTAAGGTTTTACCTCTAATATAAGAAAGGCGAAATCCCTGAGCTTGTCCTGAGCTTGATGCATCTGAGTGAAAAAATATCCAAACATGGTCCCTTGCAGAGATGAAAGATGGAGGTATGGATGATCCACACACTTTGTACTCCTCCCTCTTGGAAGAGGGGCCAATCATCAACCAGTCTACTGCACACTTCTGAGAGTCTTCCAAATCGAAGTTCTTAAAACTGTTAGTAACAAAAGAAAACACAAGTTACAAAGAGGGCATTTATCTGGAACAAAGCCAAACAGAGAAAAAACAGACCGCAATAGTTGACATTCTGCACCAAGCAGCGCTGACATAAAGAGATCACATTCACGATAATGAAACACCTATGGTACCTTGAGTACATATAAACAGAGCACTCAAATTCCCCCAATTTGGAAAAGCACCCATCCCACAGGCATAAACAGCATGCCAAGTAGCTCCAAAAGCTGAAAGGATGATTCCTCTTTTACTCAGAGTCCTTAAAGAAAACTGCTTCCTAAAATACAGATATGAGTAAAAACAAAATTGCAGAATACATTATACAGAAGGTAGATTAATTTCAGCAGTCTTTTCCAACCTTAAAAGCTATTAAACTATGGGATGAAAGAGAAGGCTACTGTCTTGGAAAAAGAACAATAGGGAGCAGTTAAAAGAACCCTAAAGGGATAAATACAAGAGACAAAAATCAACTCTTCAAGATATGGATAGGCAGGGAGAGAGCAAGAAGAGAAGAGGACTGCAAGGGGTGGAAATGGGACCTAAAGTCTAACACTATTCTTTTTTAATTCAAAGACTAAAATATTCCTTTCTGGGAATGCAAACAAGTCTGTAACCTTTTACAGCAAAACCTCCAGCCCTTCCGCTGACCCAAGCCCAGTCATTATTCAATAGTAGCTTACCTAGTGCAAAGACGTGCCCCAATTGTCTGCATAACACTGAACACAACTAGATAACACTCCCTAACCTGTAGCTCAGGAACCATACAGGGTTATCTGTTCAGTCTGATGAAACAGATTACATTTGCATTTAGTAATGTGCAGTGACAATAGCATTGCACAGCGAAGCTCTCTCATTAGGAAAGGGCACATTGTTCAGGACACTTAGAAACTAATTTTGGTCTTCTTTCATATAACTCAGCTACACAAAATTAACTTGTTTGTGCGTACTCCATGCAAATACCTAGACAGAATTTTCAGGCTGAAAAGCTGCTGTGAAATACAGACCTCCTTCCACAAAGGACTTTTCATAAACATAAAAGATTAATTCTTTGAAAAAGATAAACGGAAAGATAATTTTCTCATATCACTACGTACTCACAAAAGGCTGTCAATGCCTGCCAGATCTTGCCATTTGAAGGTGAAAGGGAAAGAGCAGCAACAACATAAACTAGCCACTTCATTTAAGCAGGAGACCCACCCTACACACACCTGTAGGTTCTACCAAACATATCAGCTTAATAACTCTCCAGAAAAAAAATTATCAGCAAGAGAATGCAAAGAGAGCACTGAAAGTGTTAAGTTAAAATGGAAATTCAGAGATGTCCAACAACGTATGTGCAGGCAAGGACAATCCACCCAGAAATATGTCCTTCCTCTCTTCTCTCTTTCTTCCACCATGCTCTATGCGTCTTCCTAACTGGGAAGAAATATTCCCACAGCACCTAATTCTTTGCTATAAGAGATCTCATCAAGCTTCCAAAACAAGCACATTTTGCAAAGAAGCTTTAGACAACTCAGCCATGCGAGAGTAAACTAAAGACTATCTGTCCCAGGTGTTCTGCAAAAAAACTTTTAATGACCAAGAAAGTGCACAAACAGGCACTACTGTGTGAAAAGAAATTATACAAGGCATCAGTGAAAACTGTGGGCACCCACGTCAAGTCTGTTGCAAGAGATGTGAGACAGCACTACTGAGCTACCACATTGGTTTTGCTGTCTGTAACACATTTTGGCACCAGACATCAACAAGGGTTTCTGTCATCTGCTTGGAAGATGGTTTGTAAGGTTTTCTTGTCATAAAGACTTTTTGGGTATCTATCTGCCCAACAACAAAAATTTTTAAGAACAGGGAACAGTCACTGAATCAAGAAACGGAAACTCAGAACTGGAAAGGGCGGGGGGATGACCAGAAAAACTTCTGCTTGCAATACAAACAAGATCATTTACTAAATCTTTTGATCTCTTACTTCTATAGTTATTTCAGATGTACCAGGACCAACCTTAAAGAGCTAAATAATTTGTTCTCCTATCCTACCCAGTTCCCAGCACTCCACCCGAGTCCCAGAGCCACTCATTTTCCCCACTCCGCTGAAAAGAGCTTCTTTTGTCTATCAGGTAAATTCAACCATCAGTGTTGTTACACAACACACACTGCACACACACACAGAGAAGAATTTGCCCATATAATAAGCTGTCTGCACCTCAGATTAAAAGGCATTTCTTTTTAGGAGGGAGGAAAAAAAAAGGGTTTCATGCTTTTAAGATTCACACAAAGGACGAGTACAGGAAAGTCCACTACACACACGCCTTGTTTACAAACTCCTCTGCAGGTGACAGCAATACCTCTGGAGAGCCTGCATTTGTTTATAATTAACAATATCTTCTACTTGCACCTTGAGAATATAGTATTGCTAATAAAGGGCTTTTTTTGGTTTATTATAAAGGGTGTGGAAGAGGAAGAAACTTTAGTCCCACCTTCCAAAGCAGAAGCACAGGCATACAGAGGATAACTGATTTTCCTGAGTGTCAGTTGTGGATCTGAAATCAATTCAGAGCAGAATCCCACACTTCTCCACTAAGAAATCCAAGCTTTAGCCACAAAACCAACTGAGTACAAGGGTGATGAAGCAGAACAGGCTTGCAAGGAAGTATCATCTTTAACAGCCTCCCTGAAAACACCATGTCTCTCAGAGATGCATGAGCTGCTGAAACAAATGCCTTGGTATTCAAAAAAGGGCAATACAGAATACTCATAAGAATGAACTCTCTTTCAAAAACAGTATGTCTTAATCACACGTGCCTAGGAGTTTCAAACATCACTGAATAAACACAATTGCTCTGAAATACAGGTGTTCTAGTTCTGATATAAAGTTTTATATATAATAGATACCATAGCAGTTATAAAATTTCTTCTTCTAAGAGCAAAAGCAAAGTCAAAGCAATTATGTCCTACCTCATGCAAACTAATCAACAGACATATTTTGAGCAAATTTTGCTTAGGTTAAGGCATTGTCACTCCACTCCAGCATTGTTTTAAATTATATTGTCTCCAACGGAAGCGAATTTTCCCCCCTTTAAATTGATGGTGATTTTTACTCAAAACCAAAAATATGACATATTTGAATGAGCCAGCAACCAACCTCACCACAAAAACCACTCCTTTGTAAAGAAATATGAAACAACGTGCATACATATCTGTGCACGTATAAATATATAAAATTGGTTTTCACTTTATAATGCATTTGGAACAACAAGGCTTTGTGTAAGAAGTTTCTGCCATGCTAATATGACATTAAATAGCTGACTGATTTATTTTACCTAGAGTCCTGAATGGTGCATTCAACCTCTGCTACTCCACTTCTTTCATCATCTGTAATTAGATCTAGCGCTGCTGTTGTTACAGTCTTCTGACGAATAATTTAATCCTGCTACCCACAAAATAGAGTGCGGGGACATTTACTTATTCCATTCAACTTTCTCAAACTGGAATGCAAATTTTTCTGTCAAAAGGATTAGCCCAATGGTTGAATGACCAAGGGAATGCAGTGGAAATAAGGGACAAAGTCTTGTGCTCCTACTGCTTGTAGGACTGTACAAACATTTTAGTCTTTGGAAGAGTATTGAATGAAGTCTGTAGTTACGGTTCTTGAGGGAGGGCTCAGGCCCTTTGTATCCAAAACCCAGGTTATTTTCTGTGATTAAAACAAGAAACAGAATCAAGTGGTACTGAAACTGAGAGTACTAATGGATAATGTCACCCATATCTCATGCAGCACCAGTCAGTACTGAGTATTTTTAAACATCTTGGGCAGGGAAACACAGAGCTTGGGAGGAAAAGCAAAAGAAGGGTCAGTTCAGTCACTAAGCTTCTCCAGCAAAGCACAGGTCTGAAGGAGTGAGATGTGGACCCAGAGGTCCATCCTACCATGCAAGCTGCAGTGCACACTGGCACTAAACTCCACTCCTTGCACCCCTCACCTACAGCCTTCCCCACCACACTGCAGCTGCTCCTTGGGGTGGATGCAAACATCCCCTTTCACCCACAAGCTTCACTTACAGGCAACACTCCTCTGCTCCGGCATCTCAGCATTCGACGAAGGGAAGGAGAACCTGGCTTTCCCCCCAGGCTTTTTTTCCAGAGCACACAGCCCTAGTTCAGAGGGCAGGGAGAAGAGGAGCACTCAGGCACAATATTGTAGGAGTCAAACGCTGGTATTTTGAGCACTTAGAACTGCAATATTAGCAAAGTACAGAACCCATCACTGACAAACAGAACATCCTTTAAAATGCCTGTCCCTTAGGCTGTTCTTACTGTTACCTGTGATCTTCTACACAATACAGGAATAGACGAGGAGATGGACCAAATTTTGTAGGTTTGGTTTCTTCTGAAAGATGCTATTCAAAAGCACTAACTCCAGTTACTTTGCTTTTGGAATGCCTCTTCCACAGCTAATTCCTTTTAAAAAAATCCCCTCATTATATACAAAAGTACAAGGATAGTTTATTAAACACTGGAAGCATTCAAACTCTGAGGATCAGAACAACTCAATGAAACTGACAAATGCAGCACTAAATCCGTTTCTGCAGAATTCTGCAGAAATCACCTGATTTTTCTTTCAGTGGTATGATACTGAAATAAGGCTACCTCCAACACTGAGCAGGACTCCCGGAGCTTACAGAAAATTACAGGATGGGCCATGTATCAGATCTTGCCTGTAAAATTACTGAAGTGACACAAGAGTAGCCTACAATGGTATTTTCCTATTAACTGTCAAGTATTTTTATGTTGCTGGCAAGAACTTCATTAAACCAGCTTATCATAAATACTCATTTACACTCTGAAAATATGAAAAAAAAATCTGCTACCTGAAAAACTAATGCTTAGCAGAGCTAAGCTTTTTGCCATCTGCACTGAAAGGAGCAGTAGCAGCTAGAAAAAAAAAGTACTTCTATAAATAATGTAGGGAATTCCCTACAACCCTCTCAGTAATTTAAGCACGAGGAACTACAGATTAAGGGGGGGGGGGGGGGGGGAAGACTTTTTAATAAGGGGAAAAGGACAAACCTGGGATGATGAGGAAAATGAACAAAAAAGGGTAAACTGTTGGAGGCTCAGCAGATGTAAAATCGGAAAGTAATTAGTAAATAAATTTTTAAAAATGTCCAATTTGGCCCTCTAAATCCATTAAAAAATTGGAGAATAAATATTATGGGTAGATCAGTAAAGCACAGTCCCAAAATAAAACAGACCAGCCAATTAAGCAAGAAAAGTTACTTCTATTTGCCAACCTCTCACAGCAAGCGCAGACTGTGAACAACTGATGACTTAATTGGCTCATTAAAAACTTCTGCTTAACCACTGAAGCACAAGGACCTTGAAGTCAGGAAAGCTCTATTCTACTCCCAGCTCCCAAGCACCAGCTAACTGTGTAACCTAAGGCAAGAGACACAGGGGCTGTGTTTTCAAAAGCTGAGCATGTGCAACTGAATGAAATAAATGGCTATTATGGTTTTTTTTCCAATTAATGTCAAGTTCTGAAACATGGTGAGTTTGGTAAATAGACAATGAAGCAGTCCCTTTAATTCTTCATAAAATTACAGACCAGCAAGCCTTTACATGAATGGGCCTCAGTTTTGCTCAGAAATTGAAACTCAAATGGTATCTGAAAATTTCTTTTTTCAAAGCCAATGACGTGAATCACTGAAGTGAAAGCCAAAGAATGTGATTCTCCCCCTCCCCCCCCAATTAATGAGACAGCTTGAGTGGATCACTAAGTAGATCACTTTTCAATGCTCTTATCTTGAATTCTAAACACAGAGAACATTTTACTCTCCATCCCATAAATTCCTCTAATAAAACGCAATTCATTTATACTCTGCCCACATCAGGTTAATTACAACCATCAGGTAACAGCAACTGCTAAACAAAAATGATTTTGATCTTTTCTCAGATATGAGGAAACATACACACATAAAACTTGTAACTGCCTTTGTACCATCCTTCACTAAATATGACATCTTTATCTGATCTTACAGGATTTTTATGTGGCCCTTCGTGAAAACAGGCATAAAACCAGAGAAAATGGGAGGAAAAACCAAGTAGTTCCCAAACAGTAACTAACAGACTGATTACCTGAATCTAAAGTGACACAACATAGTCTTGGAAAGCAGTAGCTACACACTTTTTCCGAGGTCTCAACAGCACCATTCCATCAGACACATAAACTTGGAAGAAAGTATTGAAACATTAACAGAGAGGTGTAAGCACAAAGGACATATATTTCCTGTTCTTGTGAAGTCTCCCCCAAGGATTTCTAAAAAGTAAACTATAAAGCAAAACAATAAGCATGGAAATGTGAGGATATGAAGAAAATCAATACACACACGAAAGGTAGATATTAAGACAAAGCTTCTAAAAGAGATGCCCACAGGAGCCAGCAACTTACATCCACATGTAGATCTGGGGACTGTTCTATTGAAAGCTGCTGAATAATAGGTTTATAAAAAATGACCACTGACTGCAAATGGTTTAGAAATCAAAACTACTTCCAATTGCAATTTTATCCCTTAATGACTCCTGCATCTCAAATATGATACTTATATAACATTGCTGTCTTACTGTCAATGAGAATTCAAGATCAAAGGAAATGCAGTCAGTGTAAGATAACACAAAGGAGGTGGGTTTTTTTTTAAACCTTTCAAAATCCAGATGTTATCACCAAAACTGTGTTTGATTTTCCTAGGAAAATTTAAAAAAGCTACTCTTTTATGCCCTTATCAGCACACTATTAGGACAAGAAGCATACTGAAGAGGAAAAAAGGTTTTTATTTGAACCCTCTTTCCCAGTTTGCTTACATCATGCTAGCCTAGGCAAGTCAGCTGCTTCTTTTACGTCCTTGGCATTACAAGGGCTACAATCTTCCAAAGAAATCCTCCAATGCTGTAACATTCTGCATTTCATTCACTGGAGTGAGTCATTCCAAGTACATTTATAGTCAGAAATGTAGCACCACAACACTACTCTTTAGGATGTAAACACATAGCTCCCATTGTTTGCATGTGCATAGGAGGGCAGGATATGGCAGTGATAAAAAACCCATTGAGAAGAAATCTTTCAAATCATATTGCTATGCACACATCTAAACTGTATACACACATTATTACCACTTTCCTTATCTTATTTTCCTTTATTTCTTTAGCCTCTGTTCCACTCATACTTGCAGAAGAGAATCCTAATTCTAACTGGGAGCTCTGAGACGTTTTCATAGCATAAATTGCAACACTAGTCTCCAGAGCCAAGTCCTGTGTCTCATTTGTATGCTTTCTCAGAGTTTCCAACAATCTCTGCTTTGAAACAAATTCCCCAAGTCCAATACAATTTAATGGGGTTTAAAAGCATGTTTCTATTTATGGATCTCAAATGCTGGCAGGTATCTACTTCCTTACTTTTGATGAGTAGTTCCTATTTTGAACTACGGATGGTGGAGCCCTCCTATTATTCCATCTGTGGCAGATTTGTTTTTAATTGCTGAGCATCTGCAGTTGAAGAGGTTTGCAGTCCTTTTAAGCAGCTGAGCAAAGAATGAGCAGATGGTGTCAAATACAACAGTACTAAAAACCAAACAAAAATCCCTTTCCTACGTTTGCTTTTTCTTTCTTTTTTTAAATAAGAAATTGTTGGTTTGAGAAGGATACTACAATTAGCGCAGAGAAATTAAGCATTGCAGTATGCTGATATTATAGCCTAAACATTCTTAACAAACCATTTGTAATATGTTCTAGTCTTTTCTGAATAGTATTTTTACAGAATGAGCGGAAATGGTGCCACAAATACTAACTATTATTTAATTCTGTCAGAAAAGCATGTGTCTTCTGGTTAACAAGTAACAATAAGCAATGATTACCTTCAATTGTCAATTAAAAATAGCACCATTTCAAGACATTACAGAAAAAGTTATTTTTGCTCTAAGAATTTTACATATCCCACTGAGGCCGTTCCAGGTTTTATAGCCTTCACCTATTCCTATTTATAAGCAATGAAGAGAAGGGGGACTATTTAATGCGAGTAAACGTATCACTGTTTCCCACCTCCTCGTCTATCAGAGGTAGATGAAATCTCACACAGGTATTGTGAAGATAAATGTATTGAAAGACAAGTGAGTTGCACTTATAATAAATAATGGATGTCAGAAGTAGCCTGCAGAAACAAGACACAGTGGAACATTTCTAAAATGAGAGGTGCCCAACCTGCAATCACGCTCCAGTGTAATCAACTTCAGCTTCCTTCAACCATTCAGTAGCTCTGACAAACAGCCTCATACTAGTATATCAGATAAGAACTCACATTTTGTTTCATTTCAGCAAAGCAATCCTTTATCTCCATGGACTATCAAACCATACCTAATGGTTATCATGTCTCCACGATCTCCTTGAATGTACCAGCTGCAGTTTACAGCTGGAGGATAGTTCAACGGCCAAGAAGGACTATAGATGACTCCTCGTCTCTCTGTGTGCTGTTCCAGCTCTCCACTGCAAGCACCTGTTAATAAGGGGGAAAAAAATATTATTGTTAATGCTTTGCCTAATCAACCATTCACATTAGCTACAAGAGCTTTCATCAATTTCTGGGGATTGCAGACAAATGAGAGTCAACAGTTCTATCCTCCTACTGCTTTATTCCCTGCCTCGGTTTTTAATTAAGACACCCGCTCTAACTGTAGGTAAGCATAACCTGCATTTCAATGCAGCATCAATCAATAACCTTGTATGAATCCACCAAAGGCTACAATCAATATTACTGCATGGATCTGCCAAGAGTATATAATACAGAAGGCCTTCTTACCAGTTTCCCAAAGTCTAGGTATGTCACCCAGTGACTGAAGAACATCTATATTCAGTGTAAAGTACCTGGAAGCTCATTTTATTGTAACACGTTTCCTGGACATGTTGTTTATTCTCCTAACCATATGTCAGACCTGAAGAGTCTGTAACGGTTAAAAAAAAATCCCCAACAAAAAAGACACTGAACTGGACTCCAATGTCAAATATTTTCACCGAACATTACTAAGTACTCTAAATTCCTTCTGAACTCCCATTGATAAGACAAATTTTCCAGACAGGGAAAGGAGCAAATAGGACTAAATAAAGCTCAGTATTTTCAAAGCACTTTCAGATCTTCCTATGGAAAACAGCAGGCCAATTAAGGCTACATCACATACTTATAATTTGTAATTAAGCAATTCAAAAATGAAAGTGAAATATTCCAAGGACAAGTGGGAAAGCTGTTCTGATGGGAAAATGTACTCTCAGCAGACTACAAGAGGGGAAATTCTGTGTCATGCAGTAGCTATTCTGAACATTCTCCAAAAATATTTTTAAAACTATTTTTAAAACAAATTACTATCTAGAGCATGACTTGTAGACTGCAGCTGAATATTCCAATTTTTGACAGAAGCTTACTTTCTCATAGCTTAAAAAGGTGGCAAGGAAAAAAAAAGTCACCTATACCTCACGTTTCCTCATATGCATACACGTCCAAATATACTGCGTCATAAATCACAGATTTATAGTATTGCTTGAAATTCAGCCACATAAACGCATCATTTTCAATTCACAGTTGGGATCAGATTTAGCTGCACTGGAGGGATGGGGTGAAGAAGTGCCGGCAAAGCTGCCTGGCTGCAATCAAGTCAGGTGGCAGGGCTGCCCGCAGAGCTCCTGGCTGGGGCTGGGGCCAGGCTGCAGTATCCCCCCACTAGTAAATCTGTGCCTGGCACTATTCCGTTCGTTCACAGTAAGCGCTTTTGAAGTGAGAGCCACAGGAATATAAAAAGCACAAGGCGAGTAACTTACCTGAGGCAAAACATATAAAAAGTCATTATTTTTACTCTCCAAGCAGGGCATTCAACTGAAACATATGCATGTAATTCCTACTAGTTTCAAAGGCCACAAAAGCACACAGAATACATAAATACATGAAAACATCTATTTTCCAAACAAATATTTTGCAGTAAAGAACTTACGAAAAACAAGAACATTTTTGTTATCACATTTCTAAAACCAGAGAGGCTCTGTGCTAGACGCTGGCAAAATACTGAGATGCAGATGCAACTACAGAATTATAAAAGCAAACTTAAGACCCACAGGACTTTTCAACTCTAGTTCTCAGTTTGTTTAGGTCTTTAAATGTGCTCCTCCACACAGTTGTCACTACATCAACGTATCATAACAGCGTAAGAGGACCTACAGCTAGCAACCACATAAAAGAAGCTGGAAAGACTGCATTTCGCAACTGCAAGATTACTAAAACTTCTCAACAGGAAGGAAACAGAATGCACAAAGCAGGAAGAGCAAATGCACCGGACAGCACTATCCAGAGGCTTCCACCAACAGCTCTGCAAATATTTCTGTTCCCCTTGTACCAAATACTGTTCTGGATTAATATCCCTTATTCATAGTATATGCATTAGAACAGAATCATAATTACAGAAAGCTTATTTTAGTTTCCACTCTGAGGAAGTCCCACTGGCACGCTGGTGACTTTGCATGAGCACTTCCACTCACGCATTCACCAGTGCAGTTAAGCAGAGCTTTTATTCTCCCAAATATTTGTTTCACAGTTTTAGGAAGTATTTACAAAGATCCTGAGCAATAGTTATTTGAATTATGCCAGCTTTTTTGAAGTAACATCGCTAGCATTTTTTCTTTTCCAGTAATGTAAAGTTTCATAATTTGTAAGCAGCGGATCTGATGTAACATGACAATTCAGGCTCTCAGTTAGAAATTCTTTTTATTAACACTGAACATCTGCTACAAACATGGGACATGGAAAGAAGAACAGACAAAAGAAAAAGATTTTCCATTTTATCAGAAGAATTGTAGTTGTGAAAAATCTAAGGACATGAGCAAGGTAAGGGCTACACTGACATTATATGCCATTTTGGGCAGTTCATCTGGCAATGGTCATTGTTGCTCAATATTCTCCCATGGCTTTACCCCTGAGACACAGCAAGCATTTCAGACTTGCCCTACTCAAAATCAAAAGGACAACTGTTTTGCTCTTACAAAGGCTCTTGGTTTGAATGGACCACTAGTCTGAATTCATATTGCCAAAACATAATTACATTATTTTCAGGATATGTCCACAGTCCCCTAAACCTGTTGGAGCAAACTGGGGACACACACCCATCCACCCCCCCAAAACTACTATTGTGTTTACCCAAACCTCACTTAACTGCCTTATGCTTCCAATGCCTTTCAGTTCCCACCAATGCTCATTACTATGGTATTTGCAACGTATCAATAGATCTCCTTCCTAACCAGTCCTCTGCCTCTTTACTCCTTGTGCACCAACTGCTGTGGGGCAGCTGTTCTTTCACCTACATAAATTTTTCAAGAAAAATCTGTGCTAAACAAAGCCTTCAGTGCTGGCAACAAAATGGAAAAACTACACAAGGGCACAATTTTGTACTGTTGGGGTTTTTGTGTCAATAAAGGGGCCCCACTTCCCTCCTCAGCTCCTGGCCATGAAGTATGCAGAATCACATACATGCATAAGTATTGTGTTATTTAGTTGGGCTTCAGCATGACAGTGTGATTCCTTAAGGAAAATAAACAAAAGCCTTTTCAAATTGCCAAAACATCTAAAGGAAAGGGAAGTCTCTAAATAGAAAGGTACAGTCCTGGATTCTGAAGGCCTTATGATCAGCAACAACACACAAGAGCAGTGACAATATTTTTTCAGCAACTGTTCTATAACTCTATTTCTGCAGCCTTTGTGCACAAACCCAGAAGTGAAAACCCAATTTTCTAAAAGCCCCAAACAGCTGACGTTTTCCACATTTATAATTACTGAAGAAACGTTAAGAGAATACCAATCCCTGGATTAGCAAACCAACCCACCAAAAATCTGACTGAGATGGTACTTTTTAAAAAAAAATTCTGAAGATAGACAATAATTAATCTTTCATAGATTAAAAAAAAAAAAAAAAACAACTTTAAACAAATACCAGAAAAGGTTTAAGTTCAGGGAGTTTCTCTCAAGCAGGCATAAATCTTAATGAGGCTCTTTCCATGATAATCAAATTGATTTCATCTACTGTAAACAGCAGTAGATTCCCCCTGCCAGTTAAATATGCCACAAATACTTTCAAGAATGTTTCCAAAACTTTACATAAATAATATTACTCCCATTTTTGCAAAAGCGACTATAACAGAACAGACGTCGAGCTCCACCAGAGGACGGTGCTGGGGGCACTAAACTGTGCAGGAATAAATTTTCAGACAATCCCAGCAGAAAATAAATCCTGCAGTTTCACACTCTTCTGCGATGCTCCAGGGTCTGCCCCAGTCCCAAGGGACACATCCCAACCATCTGCTCTGGGATACGGGATGGTTTGCACCTGCCCCAAAGAACCTTCTCTCAAAACCCAACGCTTGGCAGTATACGCTTCCTCAGTAGCTATCTGATGGTCAGCAGGAAACTCTCCCCGAGTTCTCCAAACGCTCCCTCAAGGAGGGCTTGCACATGTTGCTTAATGCAGATCCTTTATGCCGGTAGAGAGAACAGAACTTAAGGCTCCCCTTCATTTTATCCAGTCTCCAGCAGGCCGCTTCTGCCCCGATATCAGAAGAAGCAAAGGCACAGCCCAAGGGCTCAACTCGCTGATCTGACAAAAGCCGAGCTCACACCCCGCTGGATCAACAGGCTGAACTGGCTCACTGTGAGCCTGGGGAAAGGCGACTCAGGGAGGACTGCTCCCTGTCAGCAGCAGCAGCTTTTCCAGCTTAAAGTCATTGCATGAATACAGCTGAGATGGTGGCTCGACCTGCGTTCTCCGGAACTCATTATTTCTGCTATTACCAGCTTTCTGAAAAGGAACTACACTGTACCTTATCATAGAGATCAATGCTGTAATAAGCTGCTTTGTCAGGAGGTGTTTAGGACAGCAAGCATTCCTCCCAACTTTCATCAGGACTCCTAAGAAACATCTCCTGTCAGACGATTCCTGGCAGGGTCATCTGCCTTACGACTGCACTATCCTAACCTGTTACCCTCCAACACACTGGTAAGAGAAGCTACACATGGATCACACTATTGCAATGACCTTTTACGATCATTTTTCTTCCCTGCTCCAGTTATGCTGTCATGAGACAAAGTAGCTCAAAACTGTATCAAGACAAGAAAACATGAAGGCTACAGTACTCTGAGGTTTTCAGCATACTTGAAAGAATAAAAGCCAAATGTTACAACTCTCTGTTTCTAGCAAAAGAACAGCATTAGAAAGCAGCAGACCCAACTATATGAAGCACTATATATTTCAGGCCAAGGTAGTATCACCAATCTAGGCCAGCCACTGTATAATTACTCAAGTTACACTTTGTAAACTCACATACCATACAGCCAACGGATGGCAAACTCCATCAAAAGCCAAAGAACCATCCAGGCAGAACAGACTAGGACATAGATGACATTCTGGATTTTTTTCCAATGAAAGAATGGAAATACTGTGTTGCAAACAACACGTCCTATATGGTTCATCAACACTTCCCCTAAGCTAAATTTAAGGAAGTTACCTAATTGTAAAATTACTACCTTTTCCTGATTTAAAACTTCTCTCAAAGCCCAATGTTGACTTGAACACTCAAGCTCCCACATGAATCAATCTACTGCCTTAGAATTATTTTTGTGTTTTCCCATTTCCTCTCCTCCTGTTTCCCTTATTTGGTTTCTCTGTTTTAATTTCAGTTGCAACCTCTTGGGGCATAACGTATGCCTACCAACGCGATTGTGGATTTACAGGCACAAGAGGGCCCTTATCACTAAGGGGACCCTGACTGCAATGTTCCGGTGATGTCCGTAAGTCACAGTGTAATTTCCTTCTCTATAGCAGTACTAAGTGCTGCAATTCTGGTTGCATTTCCACTTTTGACATTCACGAGACATTTTTAACGTTCTTGTTTTAGCTCCCTCCGGGAATGGGCCACTGTCCCTAGCTTGATATTCCCAGGCACATTTCCTAAACATCGAGTTTTCCCCTGAACATATCAGCACGTACTATGTCCTTAGCCTCAAGCTTATGATTTTTTCCTAGCACAGGGACACTGATGGAGTCTGTAACCCCAGGAAGACTTAGAAGTCCTGAACTTCCTAAAACGTCACTGTTACTCTCTCTCAAACAAAGGTCATACTCTTTTGTTAAAAGATCTCATCACGTAGGGAGGAAACTGTAACAATGCAAAAGAACAGTAAATACAAATAAGAAAAGTATATCTTACCTAATGAGGTAACAGCACTTTCTATTTTCCCAGTCAGGAAGAGATTCACTGTGTAAAGACAGAAAAATAATGTTGATACAGGTTCCAGTGGCACAGGGTGGCAGTCAATAGTTAACCATTTCTAGGTGTTTGCTGGGGTGTTAATATAAATACATTACAGTCTTCCAACAAGAACTTTGCTTATCTACACAGGCAAGTCATGTAATCAGCTACTATCCTTCACTGTAGCTATAAAAAAGTCAATACACACTGTCAGTTTAGTATCTGTCAAATACGCTACCAAAAGAAACAACTGCCAATCTAGTCTAAGTTGTCTTCTGTAGGATTTTTTTTAATTGGGGAAGTCAGAAGAAAAATTACACTGACACATTAATCATCACAGCTAGTCACTTTACCTGCTTAAATACTGGAAAATAACTAATGAAATTATTATCTTTAAATATGTCTCCTCTGAACAAAGCAATGTTTGTTCCTCTCAGGTAAATGTCACCTTGAAAATAAACTGCTAAAGCTAACATGATTACCATGACTAATCAAAGGCAATGAAGTTTTCAAAAAGGTCTACTGGTAAAAGGAAAACAGGATGAGGCGGTGCTTGCAACACATATCTGCCTTACAAATTAGTCTCCAAATACTCTTCACTTTCTCAGAAGTCTCCTCTCACAGTATATACCATTAGAGTGATCTGGTAAGAGCAGTTATTGCCAAAAAAAATTCTCCTGTGTCATTGTTGCTCCAGAGGTCAGCATTAACATGCCGTTCCGTATTAGTTTCCCCATACATTCTATAAGGCAGTTCTCTAACAATTACAGCGTATTTCACTAACTGCTCTCATTTTAGCAGTATTCTATAATCTACAAAGACAGCCTATTAATAAAATGACAAATGTTTAAAAGAATCAGAAAGGTTTAAAAAGTTACCAAAACTTAATTTACAACATCCCAGCCCAAGCACTCACTTTGGCTTTATTTTGCATGTATTAAGTCCTAAATCTTTTTATAGCTGATCTGTTGGCAAGCATTTATTAAAAAAAAAAAAAAAAATCATTAAAAAATGAACAATAGGAGATGAGAGGAAGAGAAACTGTCCCTGTTCCCAACAGTCACTTCGGAAGCTGCTGACAATTAACACCATTTATGCCTCAGAGTAGCATGTATGAGTGCAGGGCCCCATTGTCTTAACCACTATCCAAACACCACAAACCAATGACCCTTGCCCTGACAACCTTCTGGTATATCTTAAACTAGCACCGGAGGAAAAAAATACCTAGCACTAAAGGGGTGGAAATAGAAAAGCTAAAAACGACCCCTTAGCTTGCCAGTTTGACCCCAGTCATGGTTTTCAGTCAGTGGTGGATCTGAACTATCACGAAATTGCAGCAGCCCAGGTGCCTACAGCAGTCCTTCCCTGACTTACATCTAGATGTCCGCAATTTGGAATTTTTCCCTCCTGAAGCCAGAGCTCCAAGAGCTAAATGCAGAGAGTGATTTCAGCAGGCGCACAGACTGCTACGGACCTCAGGCTGAGGCCAGGCCCTGCAAACCAGAGAGAACGACTGCTCCTGGTGTCACTCATCGCAGAGCACATCTGGGTACCACCACAAGGGCAAGGGCAGCGACTTCTAGCTCCTTCTAAGTGGTTGCAGGATTGAGCTTTCTGTAATGCACAAGGGAAGGAGAACGCAGTGGCTTGAGAAGGAACAGGTCTGAGTTGTAGATTTGTGTCAATAAGCATTAACACGATGTTCAAAGGACCTTAACGGCACTGATTTTATTACATAATTAACGTACAGTAACATTTGTTATATGATAATAACAATGTGCCATGTAATTATTTCCTTTGTTTCACAGCACCAGCTTGCTCCGATAGGTCAGTAAGCATACACAGGAGCAACACTACCATCCTGTACCAGGAAACAGCTTGGCCCCATTAACTCTTGCTCTGTGACAGAGCAGCACGTCTGTTTGTGACAAACCTTGGATCACAGCAATAACAGTGACACAACATTTTCTCACGCGGTATTAAAGTGCCGCTATTCCTGTAACCATAGTAATATAGTCATAAAGACTGAGAAGAAATTAACCAGTGATTAAGTCACAAATTTAATTTAATGAAAATTAAAATTCTTTGTTTTGCTCCAAAGAAAGTACATGAATATACTCTGCATAACTGTTATCACCACATCTGAAAGGAGTGTTTGAAGATGCATTGTATGGAAATGCCTGGGTCTGTACTACCATTCTACAATCTTTCTTCCTACTTCCTACCCAAACCTTCCCAATGGCCATAACAGAAGATGAGCTCCCAAGCAGAGGTTGCCTCACACGGCTGATGAGGGGGGGCCTATGCCCTTTAAATGGAAATAAGTAGCATGAAGACAAGGGGCCTGACAGAGTGGAATCAGCCGACTCAGAGCCACATTACTTTCTTCTGAGGACTGTTAAGCAGACAGCCCTAGTTTGCTACCAGAAGGACAGTTATAGGCAGCTTTGCACGCCAGACCTGGCAGATACCCAAGACAGACAACCCCCAAAAATGCTCTTTTACCTCTGCAAATGCAAAACATCTATTGGCTGCTGTTGCAAGCTCTTTGCTCTCATTTTCAAACTCTTTCACACTGAGAAGTCAGCAGTGAAGAACAGTTTTATTTTAAAATAAAGTTTAAGTTTCACATCAGGTACTTTGCCCAGTGACTGAATAAGCTTACAGTTTCCAGTATCTGTTTTCCTCGCTCTCAGTCTCAAGACCATCAAATCAAACCACAAGAACGCTGTAAACCAGCATTTTCTGAAGCACTCAGCTCTCAAAAGTGTCAGAGGCCCAAAAGAAAGAACAGCCATTCCCTGCCAGTTTTCTTGTCTCTTACCAAGACAAAATCTTATCAAAATAAAAATAGGCGAGAGACTGGGGGTATACCAGAAAGTTTTCTAGATGGTCTTTTTCTTAACTGTTGGGCAGAGTTATGGGAAAGCCAGAAAAAAACAGAAGTGGTTCAGTTGGCTTGAACTTCATGTAGGAAACTTACTGTGCCATTCATTTGGATTGCTAAATAATTCTCAGGGTGAGGTTTTCAGCTGGGAAAGCAGTTATTTGGATCAAAAGAGAAATTTACATCTTGGCACCTCCGAACCAAATGACAGCTACCAGGCTTTTCCCACAGCCAGAAGAAGAGACATCAGCTTCGCTGTTTTGACTACTTCCTATTTGATAACTTTCTATGTCCTCCAGAATTTCTCAGGAATGAGAAACAAAATGGCCTCGTGAAAGAACAGTTGCAACAAACCCAGTTCCAGTCTTTGGAGCAGCAGTTTACAGACGAGGTCACATACAGCAATGGTCAGTGGCAGTGCATTGATACAGACACCAAACACCACATACAGCCTACAGGAAAACAAAAAGTAAAAGAAAAGAATGGCAAGAAGCAAGAACCAAAAATAAGGACAAAAGGAAAGGACAGACAAACAGGAAGTAAAACACAAAAATAGTTAAAGCAGCAGCGTTATATTCTTATGGGTTCACTGAAGCAGAATACCTTACAAGCTTCCCACCTCTCATGTTTCTCAACTTCCACTACTGTCAGTTGTGCAAGGAATAGGAATAATACATTCCAGCTGAAAAGAAGAGCCAGACAGTGAAATTCTAGAAGTCATAGAAAGCAGAAATCTACTAAACTTTTAACCTGGCATTACCCACAGCTAAATACAAGAAGCGTTCTCACTTAAACTCTGGAGTTTACATAATCTTTTGTTATCTTACTAGTCATTTTAATAATAACCATGCTATTTCTGTCAAATAACAAAAGCTTTAACAAAGGTCTGACTGGGCCACAAAAAAAAAAAAAAATCAGAGGTATGGCGAAAACTTGGATCTTTCTCTAACTTTAAATAAACAACGTGGCAGACGTTATCCTCATGCTGTGCACATCTCCAACATCCCTTTAAGTCTCTGCAAAAAAAAGTTGTACTAGCTAGAACGGATGTTCAAACTATTTTGTAGTTTGGATAGCTTTTTACATTGCACTTCCGTTAATTAAAATAGATACATTTGAAGTAACCAGAGCAGCTTTTAAACTTCAACTTCCTACATTTTTCTAGGCAAGCCCTGATGTTAAAAAAACACTTTTACAAAAATAGAATGAGCAGTCTGGCCATAGATACCCACTTCTGATCATTTATGTAACAAATAGTAACTGTCATTTGGGATTATTAAAAAAGAACTCTAATCCACTTCATTAGCAAAGAGCTGTGGGTTTACCCCACTCTAGTTCGAGAAGCTGTAACAGTTTACCAAACAACCGTCAGGAGAGTTCAGAGCAGCCCCAGCACCACGAAGCAGCACACGCCGCTTCCGAGGACGCTGCTCCGCCAGAATCTTTGGGCAGCACGCAGGAACGCAGCAGTCAGCTTTAATAACTCCCGATTTCTACGCGCCCCTGTTAAACACGCGGGGCCTTTCGCTCGCTCGTTCCAGTCACAAGCGCCAAGGCTTCTCCCCAACAAAAAAACCATCTTCCCTGACAGAAAGGGCTGACAGACTGGAAACCAGTAATACGCATCATCACGTTGCCATAACTTAACACCTGCTGCGAAGCAGAGCGGAGAGCAATTGCTTCAAGCAGAAGGGAGGGAGGAGAGCAGAATATGGCAGAGAAACAGGGGAGGGGAAAAAGACAAAAAAAAAAAATATCTTTTTCCACCCTGCCCCTCGGAGAGAAGCGACGTGCAGGCGAGCAACGCGACCGAGCGCCGGGCAGGGGAGGCGGCACGGCGGGCCGTTTCGTAACCGCCGCGGGAGCCGCTGCCCGCACCGCGCCTCACAACAGTTAACAGTCCGAGGAAGGCACCGGCGATGCCCAAACTTTCCCCCCCCCCTCCCTAAGCGCTCTGCGGGGCTCCCGTAGCGGTTCCACAGCCAAGGGCAAAAGGCTGGTTTCCGCAGGGACCGGGCAGAACTCCGCTCGG